CACCGCCCGTGGTTCTCTCTGGGTCCAGTAGGACCGCGGCCCGGAACTCCTGGCCGGGCCCCTGCTCTCCGAGCCCGGGGTCTCCCTGCTCTCCGAGCCCGGGGTCTCCCCGCCCCCGGCGCGCGCTCGCCCCAGCGGGGGAGATGTCCGGCGCCGCTAAGCGCAGAGCCGAGGCCCTGGGTCCCGAATGGTCTCGCCCGGGCCCGGTGGGGCAAAGTCCCACGCCGGGTGCGAGGCCATCCTGGGCGAGCCTTTCTCGATCACCCTGTGGGCACACTTAGGTGTTCCTCCCTTTCGGTGTTAACTCTGTTTGAAAATAGCATCCCTTGTAGCAATTACCTTAAGGCTTTGTGGTTGTTTATATATACAAACTTTCTTTCCCTCCCCCACCCCCACCAGCTCGTGCCTGGTTTACGTTGTAAACCCTCTCAATGAACATCGGAACTAAAGAAAGTGTAAATCCTTGGCTTAGCTTTCAATGCTTTACTTCCCACTTCTGTCTTTACACAACTCTTCGCGTGACATGCTAATCTAACTATGTAATCCACTTTCTATACTCCAACACTTCCTTTCTAGATGGAAAAAAGATATTTACCGCTAACCCAGAACACCCCTAAAGAAACTAATGTCAAACTATGCTTCAGTTCAGTTCAGTCGCTCAGCCGTGTCCGACTCTTTACGACCCCATGAATCGCAGCACGCCAGGCTTCCCTGTCCATCACAAACTCCCGCAGTTTACTCAAACTCATGTCCATCGAGTTGGTGATGCCATCCAGCCATCTCATCCTCTGTCGTCCCGGTCTCCTCCTGTCCCCAGTCCCTCTCAGCATTAGGGTCTTTTCCAATGAGTCAACTCTTCGCATGAGGTGGCCAAAGTATTGGAGTTTCAGCTTCAGCATCAGTCCTTCCAGTGAACACCCAGGACTGATCTTTAGAATGGACTGGTTGGATCTCCTTGCAGTCCAAGGGATTCTCAAGAGTCTTCTCCAACACCATAGTTCAAAAGCATCAATTCTTCAGCGCTCAGCTTTCTTCACAGTTCAACTCTCACATCCATACATGACCACTGGAAAAACCATAGCCTTGACTAGATGGACCTTTGTTGGCAAAGTAATGTCTCTGCTTTTTAATATGCTGCCTAGGTTGGTCATAACTTTCCTTCCAGGGAGAAAATGTCTTTTGATTTCATGGCTGCAATCACCATCTGCAGTGATTTTGAAGCCCCCAAAAATAAAGCCTGCCACTGTTTCCACTGTTTCCCCATCTATTTCCCATGAAGTGATGGGACCAGATGCCATGATCTTAGTTTTCTGAATGTTGAGCTTTAAGCCAACTTTTTCACTACCCCTTTACTTCTAAAGATAATCAAATACATGCTCCTGTCGTAGCCCTTGCCATGACACACATGACATAGTCAAAATAGATGAAAACTCTACAGCCTCAGGCCGAAGTAGTCCTTGTTGGTAAGAGATGGGAAACATGGTTGGGAGGTCTCTGCTTAGCTGTCTCTTCCTTTAGGAAGCCTTCCTTGATGCCCTGCACTAGATAAGCTGCCTTCTTCAGATCTATATACTCCTCTTCCTCTATTTCTGTAGCCTTACTTCTGTGCCTGTACTTGTCTCATTGTTGAAATTCCCTGTTTATCTCTAAACTCACCTAACCACAGTCCTTAAATGCAGGGCTTGATCTTTCACTATTGTATCTCCAGCACCAAGAAGAGTTCTGGTAAATTATAAGCATTTAATAAGTGTTTACTATTAGGTTAAGCCTGGGTTATATTATGCTTCAAAGTTTAGGCTAAATTCAGATAAAATAAAACAAGAAATAATAAACATAGCATTAGTTAGTGAAATTATGTGGTATATTCTATACAGTATAATCCTGTACTGAAATAAATTTTATACAGTTTACCAAACTTTATATGAAAATACAGTTATCTACATGAGAATTGGGAAATTAAAGTATTTCCTGCTTTATTGTTAAAAAGATTTCTAATGTTTATGCCTGAAATAAAACTGGAAAAATTACTTTAATAAAATGTATATTTTTGCATAAATAAAACCATTGACCTCTTTTTGTGCTCCTTAAATTTGATTCATTAGTGGAATTAGCAAGGTTCTGTGCTTTTCTCACCTCATTCGGTTTTATAATTAACCAATAAAAGCTTATTAGCTTTTAAGGAAGTTTTAGGAGCATAAACTGATTTATGGGCACCATATGGTTACATCAAAGGATTTGGTTTTGTTTTAACCTGAAGGGGATTCTTAAGCTCTTTCTTTAAACTAGAAATCCGTGTTCTTTCTACCAAGTGATAATCTGAAATAAGAGTTTAAATACCAGGCTATCAAAATTGATGATGAGATTCAAAGAATGTCAGAATCTTGTAATTCATCTGGTTTAACACCTCTCACTTTGTAGATAGGTTAAATGTCTTCCCAAGGTTACACATATAGTTAATGTATATCCAAGATCAAAATTCTAGGTTTTCTATCCCAAGTCCAATGCTCTTTCACTAAAGCAAATAAATTGAAGCCACTAGTAAGGCTATAAAATTATTTACTATGGGTTTCTCTGACTTTCTTATTCACATAAGTGTTCTTGCATCATATTAATTCTTAAGAATTATGAGTATTTTAGGAGATTCTTTTTATATAAATAATATACATTGATTGCATGAGCAGATTGATGTCAATGAAGTCATTACATTATAAAATATGAGTAGAGACTCATCAAATCCTACAGCACAAAAAATTTCAAATTTCACCCTATTTAAGTAAAAATGGAACATAAAATTATACACAGTTTAGGGTGAGTTTGCTCTGTGCAGTGTTTTGAAATTTTACCTAATGCTGAGCTATTTTCAAGTAACCTTTTCAGGTTGATCATGACCTCATGCAAGAACCATCAGTTCTATCTTTAAGTGTAGTTGTACTTGGATATCTTAAAAATTGTTACATTCTGTCCCTTTTTGGAACTTAAATGCTTTACAGCCCTACCATTGCTACTTAATATCACTTCAGAAGCAGAGCTGGTGCCAAGAAAGGGCCAAAGAATGAAATGGCTTCTGTGTGTAGCTTCTAATGATTGTGTAGGAGTAGGAGGTAAAGAAAGTGGAATCAGGGAGGCCAGATTGGAGACTGCAGAAAGAACTAAGGGAGTCTTCTTTAGAAATGGGGATTTAGGGTATGTCTTTGGAGACAAGGGACTTGCTGATCAAGTTGCTGTTAGTAAAGAGAACAATCAAGAGTGACAGCTAGGTTTTTGGCCTAAGCAACTGAGTATTTGGGAGTAACTAAGGGTAAACAGTTTTGAGGAGAGATGGTGGAATCAAAAATTAGATGCTGATTGTCAGTTTAGTTCAGTTGCTTAGTCGTGTCTGACTCTGTGACCCCATGTACTAACAGCACGTTAGTCTTCCCTGTCCTTCACCAACTCCTGGAGCCTGCTCAAACTCATCTCCATAGTGTGCATCCATGTAAAGATAAAGTAGGAGATTAGATTTTCTTTATCAATAACTTAGAGAAAGGAACTAAGTTAGGACTAAGTTAGGACTCCAGTGGTTAGGACTGTGGGCTTCCATTGCAAGGGGCTTGTGTTGGGGAACTAAGATCCCTGTGCAGCCTAACCAGAGAAGGAGTACAGTTTACATTTCAGTCCTATACATAAATGTGTGTTTGTATGTGCCATGACAAACAACACTGCACTATGTGACACCCAACACCCTTCATTCGTTACTATCCATTTATATATGTGCAGTCAGCCTATGTAGTGAAACGTTAGAGCCGTGGTTGGAAGGAGTGATCTTTATTTATTTTTTTAATTAATTAATTTATTTATTTTACTTTACAACATAGTATTGGTTTTGCCATACATTGACTTGAATCTGCTACGGGTGTACATGTGATCCCCATCTTGAACCCCCTCCCACCTCCCTCCCCATCCCATCCCTCTGGGTCATCCCAGTGCACCAGCCCCGAGCATCCTGTATCATGCATCAAACCTGGACTGGTGATTCATTTCACATATTATAATTTACATGTTTCAATGCCATTCTCCCATATCATCTGTCCCTCACCCTCTCCCAGAGTCCAAAAGATTGTTCAATACATCTGTGTCTCTTTTGCTGTCTTGCATATGGGGTTATCGTTACCATTGAACATGTAAACATGTGTGATGTTGTAATTTAAAAAGCCAATGCTCTTTTTAAAAAAAATAATTACGTATTCCTTCAATTCTTCATTTTTCTATCTCCCGCCACTTCTCTTGTCAGTTTTCCTTCTGTTTTTATCTTTTGTTCATGTGTTTGCATTCTTCCTTGTTTTTGTCTTTTTGTTTTTTCCTGATTATGATAGAGGACTAGTCCTGTTCTTTTTAGGTATGTAAATCAAGGAGTGAATTCTCAAGAAGACAAATACACATTACCAGATCCTTCGATTTTCTCTGCATTTGTTAGCTCTTATTATTCACTGGAGCAAAGTCAATTACCACCCTTTGGGATGAGGCTAATTTTTCCTTTATTTTCCAGATTTCATGCAATATTAATGTGACCATGTGAAAAATTTTATTCTCAGCCACTGCTACAGGCATCGTGGAAAAGAAGAAAGAATGAAAGGGACAACCATTGACATTTGGTGACTTTAAATTTTAAAGTTTTTTTTTTTTTAATTTTAAAGTTACTGTATTTTTCAGTAATACAGAGAAACATACTGGATGACATGAGTGGATTTTAAGGACAAATTCAGCATACTATAATCTGCTAATAACATTTCAGCTGCTACATCAGTATTTTTGTAGCCACTGAGTGTATTACCACCATTTTTAATGTTTCAGGTATTCTTGATTCATCCTGAAGAGCTGATCAGTAAAAGAAATGAGAATACTATTTATGAATCATCCCCAACTAGCTCAAAATACACTGTCTAAATTTTTGTTCTGAGCTTCTATGTCTTTTAACAATCTTTTGAAAAGTTTGTTTCAAATAACAGCAGGTAACCACCAGGATGGGAGTAAATGACTTGTGGCAAATTTTGGAGCCTGTTAAACAACACGTCCACTTGCACAGTCTCAGTGGGAAAACCATTGCTGTTGATCTGAGTCTCTGGGTATGTGAAGCACAGACAGTCAAAAAAATGATTGGGACAGTCATGAAGCCCCACCTCAGGTAGAGTAAACATTCTCAGAATATAGATACGTGATGGAATAAGCTGTGGATGTCTTGGTTTTGTTTCCACTTCATTTGTTTTGTTGTTGCTGTTTTGCATTTTGAGATTTTAAAATGTATTAACATGCCCACATCTGCCGTCTCCATGTTGTGTGCATGTATGCTCAGTCAGTCAGTTGTGTCCAACTCTTTGCAACCCTGTGGACCATAGCCCACCAGGCTCCTCTGTCCAGGGGATTTTCCTGGCAAGAATACTGCAGTAGATTGCCATTTCCTCCTTCAGGAGACCTTCCTGACCGAGGGATTAAACACGTGTCTTCTGCATTGAAAGGCAGATTCTTTACCACTGAGTCACCTCATACAGGTGACTCACAAATTTGTATCTCATACCCTTGGAGCTTCAGACTCATATACCTGCCTGCCTATTTAAATATTCCCCTAGGATGTTTCAGTGACTAAAAGGCAGGAATTTTGGAGCCATTCTTCCCCTGCTTTACCTCTCCCCATATCCAATCCATCTGAAGTCTTGCCAGTTCCCCTTTCAGAATATATGTCACATTCACAAACTTCTCTCCAGAAGCACTACCTCAGTGTGTGGCAGCGTCTCTTGTCTGCCCTGTTGAGATGAAGCTTTTCATTAGCTTCCCTCCCTCTTCTCTTGACCTCCTCCTCCTCCAAACCATTTTCACATAGCAATTAGAATAATCATAAATCTCCTTTGCTAAAAAAATAAGCAGTGGTTTCTCAGCTCAGTCCATTTAAAATCATAATAAGTAAGACATTATTGCATGTAACATTTCTGATACTAGTGTCTTTGCCATGTCATTCTGCAATGTTGACTTCTGCTATTCATGTATGATGATTAAAGTATCGTTAACTTTTTCTATTTCAGGAACCTGTTTTTTCGTATCTCATATTTAATGCTAATGGATGTAAAGCTGGTGTTCGTTATGGAAGGGGAACCCCCGCACCTGAAAGCTGATGTCATTAGTAAGAGGAATCAGGTCCGGTATGGACCTTCTGGAAAAACACTGTCTCAGAAAACAGGGAGATCACATTTTAAGACAGTCTTAAAGGAGGTAAGCATTCGGGCCTGATTCAATAATTCTGATTTGAATTAGAGAGTGGGTTTTACTGTAATAAACTTTGTTGGTCAGTATCTTTAATACTTACTGTCTTCACTAAAAGGCCAATGTGAATAAAGAACAGAGTTTATGCTTTGGAGTGAAACTCACCTGTGTTCAAGTTCCTATTCTGGCATCTCGAAACTCTAGGGACAAGATTTTTAACCTATCTTTGCCTCATTTCCTACTCTGTAAAATGAGGGTAGTAATACTTTACAGGGTTATAGTGAAAATTAGAGAAACTATACATATATCTAAAGCAACTGTTACATAATTGGGACTTAATATGTAATGTTTTATGAAACCTTCAGCACTTAACAAATTCCCAGAATAGCAGTCTCATTAATTCATACTTTACTCGTTCAGGATTAATGGTAGTTGATAGAATTTGATTTGGCTTCTCTCAGGGCTTTGTAATTATAAAAAGTTATTATTTTAGTATATTTATCTGTTACAAAATATTATATATCTTAAAAAAAGATAAATCTATAACAAGATAAAGTATGTAAGTAAAACAATAGGAAGCTATAACTATTTTGTATCTTTTTAAATGTGTTTAATTTTTAAAGTTGCCATAATCATGCACAAATAATTTTTATCTTGGACTTTTCACTTAATGTAGCATACCTGTATTTTCTTGTTACCATATTCTATTCAGAATTATTACTTGTAATGGTGGTACTTGAAATCATTCCCCATGATTGTATATTGTATATTGTTTGCTTTCAGTTCTTCTCTATTATACATGAAATCATGAGAAACATTTTTTTGTGATCATAGCTTTTTCTTGTGATTTGAAAATAAAATTACCCAAAGTGGGCTTGATAGACCTAAGTTTAAGAAGGATTTTATAACTCTTGCCAACTACTTCCTACCAATACAGATATGAGATAGCAATTTCAGTGCATCCACAAAATCTTTGGATGTTAGGAGTTTTATCTTTGTACTATTTAGTATGCAAAGTCAAAGACATTTTTTGGTTTATATAATACATATGAATACATATAATACATACTTAAATATCATATTCTTTTAATGATGAGGTTAAACATTAAGTTAGTTTTAGTCCTTCTGTAAGTAATGACCATCATACCCTTTTTCCACTTAGCCTTTTTGAGGTTTTACTTTTTATTTTGTTCAGTTTCTTTATAGGCTAAGGATATAAACCTTTTATGATATTTGCTTTGAGTTCATATCCCTGTTTTTCTTCTTAAATGTTGGTTAAAATTTTAATTTCTTTTAAAAGACATTGCACAAATTAATAAGCTTTTTTCTCCAGAAGTTTTGTCTATTTTTTCTATTTTTTATTTTCATGTGATTAAAAAAAGTAATTTTCAATTAGTGGCTATTCCATCTTAATGACTATCAATAATTGAAGAAAATATCTGTACTGGATTCTAATTATTATATAATCAGTTCCTAGAAATATCTATGGTTCACATAGTGAAGGCATTAAACACCCAGTATAAAGCAAACAGGTGTTTGTCTTTTTGAGAAAATGCTTCTATTCTTATTTCTTTATTTCACCAATTGTGATGTTCTTAGACATTTTATGTTGGTTCAGTGTTGCCTGCCTATTAATCGTTATCATATTTCTGTCCAGTCTTTTACTAGGCCTTACATTCTCCTAATCTACTGCCATTTTAGTTGCAAGCATGAAAAGCACAAATTAGTCCTCCAAAACCACCTCTGCCCCACATCATAGAGACTTAGGGCAGGGAAAATTCCAGCCAACCTCATCACAAATTCTGTGCTACCTTTTGAAAAGAGTTAGGAGGACATGCACAAGAATCTGGAATAATTTAAACTCTTGTTGTTTTTTGTGAAAGGATACTTTAGGGGTAAGGAAGAAACAACTGTTTCAGTTGAGCAGCACCTGTAACAAGTCTGTCTCTCTAATAAGGTTGCCCTGCGGGAATCCTGAAAAGTACATTTTTTTGACATGGTACTTTGTCTTTCTGAACCTTGTCCACCTTGGGCAACATCTAGCAGAGGTTTTTTATTACATAATATAGCATGTAAGCAATCAGTTAAAAAAAAGAGATATTTTTTCTGTCCCTCGAGAAAAGACAAGTGAATAGCCACTTTTCCTCACCATACCCAGTATTCCCCAATGATAGAATGAGAGTGTGACATATAACACAGAAGAATGCACTAAGCTGTAAAGCTGAACTATAAGCTGCCCAACAGAGGTAAATTCATAACCCAAAGAAAGCTATAGCAGATTATTAAACATCAGCAGATTGATAATAAACATCCTGCACAGATTTGTGACTTCCCTGGAGCACTCCAACAACAAGCCCCTGTGTGGTTTCCCACAATAAGAGAGTTTCATTATACAGGGGAGGTGATAAAAAGTGAACTTTAAGGTCTCAAGCTAAAATTGTGTACTTGGAACTTCTTTGAAGGAGCTTATATTGCGATGGTGATCATGTGAAAAGGATTGCTATAGTTTTACGGATGTAAATGTTAATGTGATTAATTATTATAATTTAAAGATATTGCCAAACTCTTGAGATAACACTGAACAGTGAAAATTGAATATTCATTACTTTAAAAATATAATTTTTAAATTGATTTTTAACTGGATACAGATTATTTTTTAATTGACATCAAAATTTTTAGCTTTTCATTACAGAAAATTTTAAATAAATACAAAAGTAACCCATCACCAATCTTTAAAAATTATCAACTCGAGCAATTTTGTTTCACCTATACTCCCACCCGCTTCCCTACTTCTACATTGCTGCCGCTAAGTTGCTTCACTCGTGTCCGACTCTGTGTGACCCCATAGATGGCAGCCCACCAGGCTCCGCCATCCCTGGGATTCTCCAGGCAAGAACACTGGAGTGGGTTGCCATTTCCTTCTCCAATGCATGAAAGTGAAAAGTGAAAGTGAAGTCACTCAGTTGTGTCCGACTCTTAGCGACCCCATGGACTGCAGCCTACCAGGCTCCTCCGTCCATGGGATTTTCCAGGCAAGAGAAGCAAATCCCAGACAGTATTTTTTCTCTTAATGGGTCAGTACCTTTCTCTAAATGATACAGCTCTTAAAAAATAAAAACATGACTCAATACAGTATTTATTAATGTACGTAAAAGTTCAGCAATCATTCCTTAATGCTCTAAAGTATTCAGTGTGCAAATATCCAATTATTTCTTAAATATCACAATTTAAAACACACCTAAATAGGTACTATTAGTATTTGTAATATAGCCGTGAGTTAAACACCGTAAAAAACAGCAATGCAAATGTTCTTAGATTTGTCGCACCTGCTCTTTCTTCTCAGTGTCTTGATATGCTGGAGTGCTTAGGCATTCCCTGGGTCCAGGCTGCTGGCGAAGCTGAAGCCATGTGTGCCTACCTCAGCGCCAGTGGTTATGTGGACGGCTGCCTCACCAATGACGGAGACGCTTTCCTTTATGGGGCCCAGACTGTTTATAGGAATTTCACTATGAACACCAAGGTATTTTTTCTTTCTCCTTTTCAGCATTTGTTTTAAAAACTATTTTTTTTAAAGAGGATTATTAGAGGATTAGATAAACTAAAACATGTAAAATGCTTACCGTAATGCTTGTGTTTTTTTGTGTGTGTGCACGTGGTTGCGAAGTCTTGTCTGACTCTTTGCAACCCTACGGACTATAGCCCGCCAGGCTCGATGAGATTCTCCTAGCAAGAACACTGGAGTGGGTTGCCATTTTCTTCTCCTGGGGATCTTCCCAACCCAGGGATTGAACCAGCATCCCCTGCATTGCAGGGGGATTCTTTACCATAATGCTTGGTACACAGCAATTGCTAAATAAAAAGTTTACTCATATTAAAACTATCACTACTGCATGGTTCATTTTCTTTTAAATGTGGCTTTGTTTCACATGGTTTAACTCTAAATCACTTTCAATTATGTATTACAAAATGTCATATATGTATTACCTTGAACCAGAATTTCGACTGTTAGTATGCCTCAAAACACCTCCAAGCATACAAAGAGAGATATTCAAGGATGTTATTAGTAGTTGCAACATTGTCAATACTTGCAAAAACTTGGCAAACAACCCAAATGCCCACTGATAGGGAATGGCTAAATACAGCTATGGTTCTCATGGAGGCAGGTACTACATGGGACATATTCATTGTAACTGTTCAAGGTTCAGCAAGGGAGACTATGGACATTTGATGTATTGAAGCCAGAAAAACTAAACCATTTGCCAGAAAATTCTGTTATCTTTCTGAAAATGCTTCCAGTATCCCCATAAAGGAAAACTATCTTGGAGTCCATCTAATATAATAGTAAGCAATCATTAAGGCCTAGGTGGCTCTAGTAGTAAAGAACTCACCTGCCAATGCAGGAGACATGAGAGATGCGGGTTCAATCCCTGGGTCAGTAAGATCCCCTGGAGGAGGGCACGGCAACCCACTCCAGTATTCTTGCCTGGAGAGAATCCCATGGAGGGAGGAGCCTGGAGAGCTACAGTCCATAGCATTGCAAAGAGTCAGACACGACTGAAGCAACTAAGATATCCAAATGTATTAGTGGGCAAGAAATATTGCAAAATAGTATTTTTATATAATCCTACTTTTACTTTAAATAAGCATTTGTATTTATGTGTTAAAGAAAGAGTTTCTTAAAGGAATATGCATGGCTGTCAATAATAGTTACTTCAGATGATTCATTTACAGGGAATGTTTACTTTCTATAATATACATTTTATGTTTAATTATGTAAGATGAAAATCTACTTTTGTAGACACCAAAAAACAAGAAGAAAAAAATGACTACTATAGTTATTTTTTTAAAGCTATTTTTGAAATTTGATTTTATTTCCAGATGTTAAAATGTTAGCTTATATGAAGATTCTGGTGATCAAGATAATTTTAAACTTTTAGGAATAAATATTTACAGGCAGCTTTGACAAATTATGTTTTACAATGATTATTTTATTTAGTTTTCTGAAGATGAAACTAAATCTGTACTTTCTTCTAGGACCCGCATGTTGACTGTTATACAATGTCATCCATCAAGAGTAAACTAGGTTTGAATAGAGATGCTCTGGTTGGGCTGGCAATACTACTTGGCTGTGATTATCTTCCAAAGGTATGCTGAAATTGTATTTATTTACTATTCATAGTGGCTTTTTCTGATACCTTACATGCTACATAAATATGAATATAATATGGTATTATATAGTGAAGGACCTAATTTAGATATGGATGTAATAAACTATTCAGTAACTAAAATAATCAACATTTCAGGTGGCATTAAAATGCTTTCGCACTGTGACACTGAATGTTATAAATGAGAATAGAATCATAACTGGTACTACAGCTTGAATCTCAGTATACCATTACTCTAAGAGATCCATATTCACATTTGACTCTCCTTTTAGAGAAATATAGAAGCTACTCTTTTCTCATCTCATGCCAGTGTTAGTTTCTATCACTGTTTGTCTGTGTTCTGGTTTTGAATCTCTATAGTAACTTTCTAACTGTACACATGCTCCATGTTATTGTTACTGTTGCTAGGTAACATGATTATTGGGCTAAGTCATTCATCCCTCTATGCCTATTAGCATTGCATTGAGTTTTGCTCATGAAAGCCTTTTTATTTTATATCTTAAGATAACAATACATACTCAGTGACAGACGGGTATAATAGGTGAGGGATGAATTAAGAATTACAATGATAACCCCATTCATAAATGTGATATTTAAAAATACAAAATGATTTATATTGTATCTCCTACTGTTTTTATATAGTCCCATTATTATGTCCCTGCTGATCATCTTTGTATCCTTATTAAATCCTTCATTATACTGTAGACTGTATCCGTAAGAGAAGTCTAAAGAGGGATGACATGTATTTTTTTTCACTAGAGTATAGGAGAGGGAAAAAGTAATAGGATAGGAAATTATTAATTCTGACTTCTAATCTATGTCACCAGTGACCAAATAGAGAAATCAACAATTTTTTTAACAAGAAAAGAAAACAGGAGAAAAAAAAGCTGTTAAATAACAGAAAAATTAATTATTGTAGTTCTCATTCTGAAATAGAAGATTCCTATTTCCTATATGTAATTGTATCATAATTAAAGTCTGGAAACAACCCAGTGTTGAACATAAGAAAAAATTTGCAAACTTGAACTCACAAAAACCAGTTTCGGCTATAGTGGTATTTATTACATTATAGACTTGCCTATTTTGATTTTTTTATATCTTTGCAACCAAAACTGCTATCTATTTATATCATTGTACTTAATGATCTTTAAGACACTACTATAATAACATAATCTGCTGAAAAAATTTTTGGAAAAAAATTTAATATGTAACTAAATGCTGATACAAGAAGGGTCATATGCAAAATATCTAGTAACTGGTTTACTAAAGACATAGGCTGTAGAAATGGAACAAGTTTCTGGCACCCTCTGTTGTGCCATGTGTTACCCTAATCCTGAGTGTAGGTGGGTTGGGAAGGGAACTCAGATTAGGGAGGAGACCCCTTTGCCAGAAGGCACTCAGAATATGTGGGCAGTGAATGTTTACTAACCAGTTTGGAAGTATTTTAACACTGGTGTGTCTATCCTGATGCATATTGGCTAAAAAGCAGCATTGCTTACAAAGGCATATTAATAAACTTTTACAGGAACTAGAAGACTCAATCTAAACCAGGAATTGTCATGTGAATATACATTTATTTATTTATATATATCTAGATGTGTGTATATATATATGTAGTGTTGGAAATTAAATGCTTGTTTTAATTTTCTTAAGTTACTAATTTCAGGAATTAACTTGGAATTCTCCTTTGCTCTATTGGGTGTCTGGATCTTTCAATATTAAATATTTCATATAGTCAAAGAACATGCCTTTTCCTGATTATAAATATTGCATAGTTAGGTTAAATTAAAATATTATCAAAATAATGAACATAGAAAATGAAATGCTGTTCATCTAAAATGCTGTTCCTCCCTCTCCTAAAATAAACTGTAAGAGCTTTTGTATGTAACTCTGACTTTTTTGGTTACATAAGTTACCACTGTAATTGCTATTTAACGTATAAATCTAAGCCACACCTTATTTTCTTCTGCAGTTTTCATTTACACCTAACTGCATCTTGCACAGGTAAAATTACCTCCTTCTCTGAGCTGCCCAGTCCTACATTGAATGAATGCATCATCATTCATTTTATCTGTTCTTAATGATTAACATTTGAATTTCTTTTCCTACTTTCTGAAAGGGAGTCCCTGGAGTTGGAAAAGAGCAAGCATTAAAACTGATAAAGATTTTGAAAGGACAAAGTTTACTTCAGAGGTAACTAAAAATTATTTTTGCTTATGACATTAGTTTTCTAGTCTTGTTGAATTTAATAGTGTATACAATAAGTATTGGACTTTCCAAAAAAGGGTTTTGTCTTTTTAAGTTGATCTATGTTTTCATTGACAATCACTTATTTATTCTGACGTTTTCCAAAGAAAATTGAAAAGAACATGTCCTAAGCCATGGTTTGCATCATCAATATTATTAGCTCACTACAAACACAAGTAGTAAGATATCAAATGGGTTTATTTATAACCATGGACATTTATAAGCTATCTTAGACTATTTTATCAACAAGTAGAGATAGACCAACATAATTAATTTTATATTTAAAATTATTTTTATATAAGTACTTCAATACTATATTTTTCTATCAATGAAATGCCTGGCATATTGCAAATATTTAATTAGTAACACTTGAACAAAAGTTTTACTTCACTATCCTTTGTTCTATATTCGCAAATTCCAATGAATTTAGACTATATGATTTGAGGATTCAGGCTTCTCTGATAGCTCAGAAGGTAAAGAATCTACCTGTGATGCAGTAGAGCAAGATCCAATCCCTGGGTCTGGAAGATTCTCCTGGAGAAGGAAATGGCAACCCACTGCAGTATTCTTGCCTGGAGAATCCTATGGACAGAGGAGCCTGGCAGGCTATAGTCAATGGGGTTGCACAGAGTCAGACATGACTGAGCGACTAACACTTTCACTTCATTTGAGGATTCAGGAAAATTAAGATTAGAGTATATTGAAGTTTGCAAACTGTGCTGTTTTGTTTTGAGCTTTCAAAATGAGTCTATCAGTCATTTGTTTGATGATGGCAGTTTTTATAAAAAATGAATATTGGTGATAATAAAGTATAGAATGAATAGAAGGAAAGGAACCAGGACACTGGGACAGTTAAAATAATCTTGGCCTCCAGTAGGTGTGAGATAGTGAGTAAATGAAAAGAAGCATAAAGTGGTAGAAATGAAGATTGGGATGACCATGAGAAAGATTTCAGATATTCATGCTCTTTCCTAAGATGCCTCTCTTTCCACTGTAAGGCTAATGATAGATCTAAGACTTTAATAAACTAATTGTTAATATCAGTGATTACCATTTTCCAAAGCAGGAAAGCAAAGGTGTACTTTGGCATGGGGATGAGTTAAGGAATGATTTGGGAATTGTGAAGAGTGAAATAAAAAAGGAAAAGCAAGCAAATATGGCTCTTGACTAACTGTAAATCTTTTTTATTGAGACAGTTTCAGCAAAGGCGAACTTTTGGCAGTATTTTATGTTTGTCTTCACAGTTGAAAATAATGAGATTATATTTTCTTATAATAATCTGTCATTCTAATTTTTATTAATTTAGACTAACCTTCCCCTGAGTTTTAAATCTTTTTATATTTTTATGTTCCCAGGCTGGGATAGCAACTTTACTGCCAAAGGGAAAATAAGTAGGCAAGTGGAAAGGAGCAGAATAGCCTGACCTTTGAGAACATGGCAGTTTGGTGACCTTAGTATTTGTTTGTTGTTTGTTTTTTCTTAAACCATTTTCTTTTAAAAGGTTTAATCAGTGGAATGAAAAGTCTTGTTACTCTAATTCACAACCAGCACTCGTTAACAAACTGGCTCATTGCTCTGTGTGCTCCCATCCAGGTGAGCAGACATAAGGAATGATATCTCTATAACACTGCTGTCTAGCTACCTATGTTTAGTATATACCTATGTTTCATATCTATTCCTTTGGTACTTTTTACTTACCTACCTTCCTTAGCACATTGGGAACCTGCAGGGTCAGGAGTTGTGTCACATACACACAGTAGACACTCAGTAAATACTTACTGAATGAAGTAATGTCATATCAATGATAGATATAGGATAACTAGTTTCAAACTGCATTATCAAATTATTTCAATGTTAAAATTATGTTTTCAATGTAGAAATCCATTTTAAGAAAAAATTATACTGATAAATCTTGGGGAAAATGGAAGTGAAACCCCTTGTTATTTTGTTTGGTTTTTTTTTTCCATTTATTTTTATTAGTTGGAGGCTAATTATTTACATCATTGCAGTGGTTTTTGTCATACATTGAAATGAATTAGCCATGGATTTACAGAAACCCCTTGTTTTTATGTCAGTGATTTGTTTATACTTATATGGTATATTTTTATTGTGTGTGAAGATAGTGACTTAACATTAATTTCTAATACATGTTCACTGTTACTGAAAATAGCTTGGATTCTCTTCATTAGTCTTGATTAAAAAATGACGTCCATGGAAAGTCCCTGGCAGTCCAGTTGCTAGTACTCCATGCTTTCAGTGCCAAAGGCACAGGTTCAATCCCTGATCAGGGAACTAATAAATAGATAAAGAACCCATCTCTCTCTTTGTAATATAAGAATTGTCTTTTTTTTTTTTTTTAATTAAAAAAAAGATGTTTCTGACTTGTACTGGGTCAAAAAATCCTTTTGCTCTCAGGAGAGATTAGGAGATCATGTTAGCTCGTCTTTTAAAAGAAATTCTGCTCTATCTGTTTTTCTTAATATATTTTCATTGGCATTTAAGAATTATAGATGATAGCGTGGAAGAAATAAATGTTTTTATAGATAAGATGCCATTCTGCAGGGGTTTTTTTGATGCCTCATAAATTATGGTTTTAGGTCATATCACTTATGTAAGCTCTCATGTATTCTCAAGACAGTGTTGAAGGTAGTCATGCTTTCCTTTTAATGGTCACTAGGGCCCAACATCCAGGCCACAACCAGAATTTGTTTATGTTCCAAGCTTAGTTTAAAAATAGCTATATAGGTAACTGAGAGCTAGCCACTAGCAGAGGTAATAACTGCTGTATTCCTTTCATATTCTTATTTTTTAAAATTTTAAGGATTATTCTATTGCCTAAATAATTTTTTTACCAACAATATCCTTCTTGTGTGTAACTACCACTTACTCCACAGTCTTCCATCGATTACTCTAAATGTACAGTCATGTTACAAATTAACACTTTCAGATAGAAGAGTAATTTACAAAAAGTTAAAATAGTGTCAGTGATGGTAACAGCTAAGGAATTAGTTTATCCTAAGAATTACTATTGTGTTTATTACTCTATTCAACCTAAATGTATTGAAACCCTTCTATAGGCTAGGTGTTATGCTAGGCAGTATTTGTTTTTAAAAATTTGGGTAAGGCAAAGAAAAAAATGTATATAGAAGATAATTCTAAAAGCAGTGAAAATTATACTTTTTGTGTCTCCTTAAAGGTTCATCTAAGGATCATGAACATAATGGATGCAAATTATGTCAAACTGATCGATACTGTGAACCACATGATTATGAATACTGCTGTCCTTGTGAATGGCACCGTACAGAACATGAGAGGCAACTGAATGCAGTAGAATACAATATTAAGAAGTAAGGTTTTATTTTTGTACTCAGTGTTTTCTGCCATGGGACCTGTTTATATACCTTTGGTTGAATTCATAACTTCCCCTCATGTGTAGATTAATAGTGTTTCACAAAATCCCTTTCTTGATTCTGTTAAAAAATTTGGCCATCTTAGAAGATAGTAGTTTAATAATATTTCAGTGAGAAGGTTGATAACTGGTATACTCTGCAAGGACACGTTTCAATAAATGAGATGAGATTAGAGGTGATGATTTTAGAACCTACCTAGAATTGCCTGATTATATTAATAACCTGTATATAACTTATTTTCAGAAAAGCTTGCAGTTGTGAGGGATTCCCATTCCATGAGGTAATGAGTAATAATTCAACTATGTACTTATCTCAAAAGCTTTTTATAAAAGTTTGAAGTCTCCATTCTTACTTTCTTGTCTCTTGCTAGGTTACTCAAGAATTCCTTCTGAACAAGGATAAATTGGTGAAGGCAGTCAGGTACCAAAGACCTGATTTATTATTGTTTCAGGTATCTGAAAATAAACTTACTTTACAGTGTAAAGTTGGATACTAGAAAGATAAGAAGGAGTAATCACTTTGATTGCTCTGAAAGGAGGTTTGAAGTAGATAGCTATTGAGTACATGTGTGTTTTGCAAACATTTATGTCTACTTTTCGTTCCTTTATCACATAGTAGCTACATATTGCAGACTGTAAGGCAAATCACAGTTAGCTGTTCCTTACAAGACTCCTGAACGACCGTGTACAGATGTGTTGTCTTCAGGGCTGTGTTGAGGGAGAGCTGCTAATAACTGGGGAATGTTAAGATCAAGCATATTGTTATTGAAGACAGTACAGTTTACGAGCGCATTGATCTAAATTTAAATTTGGACAGTCTGTCACTTACCGTGTAACCCTGGATATGTGTTTTCCTCAGAAAAAGAAATAAGATTACCTATCTTGTGAAGTCACTTTGAGGATTAAGTGAGACTATTTGTGTTAACCCCTAGTATAGTAAGTAGAGAAACAGTCACTCAATAAATTGTAACTGCTTATTGCTTAGCTTTACAACCACAGTAATAATAATGGCAACCAACATTTATTGAACATTTAAAATTTGGTATTATATTTAACACATTGCGTGTAATCTTCCCTAACTTCATAATCAGTGTGCTGAGTTGTATTTTACAGAGATAAAACCTGAGGCTAAAAGAGGTTAAGTAATTTACCCGACATCTAGGAAATATGCTGGCATTCAGACCCAGAACCCTCACACTGAAATCATTATGCAATATTGCCTCCTTAGGAGGCTCACTGCCCATTATGGGAATCTTCTTGTTGACACAACTTTAATATTAGTTATCTCTTACAGAAAAGATAAGATCACCTGAGAGTGCTGTTTGTTCACCAAGAGATAATGAAGTCTTATTATATTTTTTATTACATTTACAGAGATTTACTCTTGAAAAAATGGAGTGGCCCAATCACTATGCATGTGAGAAATTGTTGACACTGTTGACCCACTATGACATGACAGAAAGGAAGCTCGGTCGAAGGAACTCTAATCAGCTGCAGCCAGTTCGGTAATTTAAAGAATTGTGTGGACAAATCCCTGTGTTTTTTTGGAACATCTTATGATCTAAAATATTCTTCTTAATATCTTTAATAGTAGGATATATCAATATATCTCTTTGTTTTAGAAGAATGGAGGAAAGGTCTGATGGAATATTAAAAGTTTGTTCAGGGGTTAGTGTCAGGATAACATAGTTCATGCTTTGACACTTCTTAGCCTCAAACATACAGTAATAATAGACTATTAAAAGAAAGAAATATAAAAAGTTGTGCTGTGCGAAGTTGCTTCAGTTGTGTCTGACTCTGTGCGAGTCTGGGCTAAGGACTTCAGCCCGCCAGGCTCTTCTGTCCGTGGGATTCTCCAGGCAAGAATACTGAAGTAGGTTACTGTGCCCTGCTCCAAGGGATCTTCCCGACCCAGGGATTGAACAAGTGTCTCTTATGTCTAACTTGCATTGGCAGGCGGGTCTTTTACCACTAGCGCCACCTGGGAGGCCCCTATAAAAGTTGTAGCTAGGCTTAACTAGATAATTATCTCAGTGGACCAGAAAGGGAACAGTAAGTGGTAAAGTAAGTGGAGGGGCTGAAACTGAGAATTGGTGACTCTCAGTGATGAGTATATGATTATTCATTTTACTATTCTTGAAACTTTTCTTAAAGTTTGAAAATTTTCAAAATAAAAAGTTTGGGGAAAATATTAAAGAAAAAAGATAAGTTCCAAAGGAGTCACAATCCATTAGCATACATCTTTGATGACAATAGTAGTCATCATAATGATGGAGTAATATTTCAAAGCTTTGACTAAAAATAATTGGCAACCTAGACATCATTAAAATTATTCACTGGTTGGCAAGACACTTGCAGATATATGAAGATTAAAAGTTTGCCACTCACAGACCCTCATTAAAAGCACTATTAAAAGTTGACTTCAGCAAGAAGGAAAATGAACTCGGGGGGAAGATGAGGATAATAACAAACAGCGGTCAGCCATAGAAATTGATAAAATATATTTAGCTAATTTAATAAATTGGAAAAAATGTGTATATACATATCTTCATAATGCTTGATAGTTAATATATGTTTATGATAATAAACTGACATCCCAAAGTATGCATGTAAACAGTTAAGGATAACCATTAAAACATGAGAAATACAACTTCTGTCTTTAAAACCAGTACATAAAATAGGAATGTAAAACTCCAACCAAAAAATATAGGAAGGTGGAAAGGTAAAATAACAAAGGTGATCTTTAAATCACCTTATTCATAGTTGAATGAATCCAACTATGTCAATAATCATAATGAATGTAACTGGATTAAAATTGTCTATTAGATGAGTAAACAAAATATAGCAATATTCTGCTTCATAGGGCACGTGCAGAATAAAACTATATTAAGTTTGAAAATAAAAGAGATTAAAAGATTTACCAAGGCAAAAATTTACCAAAGTGATGTAGCAAAGTTAGTAGAAGCAAAATAAACTTTAAAACAAAAATTGTTACTATGTAAAAGAGGAACACTGAATAATAACGAGAGGAAAATCTGATAAGATCTAACGATTATAAACACTATCCTTTATTTTTTTTTCATTTATTTTTATTAGTCGGAGGCTAATTACTTTACAGTATTATAGTGGTTTTTGCCATACATTGACATGAATCAGTCATGGATTTACATGTAAACACTATCTTTTAAATAAGCAAATCAGAAATAACTACACAGTAGTTCCTTACAGAATCTTTAGAATATTATTAAAACAATAAAAATTAGTGGGCATTGAGTTATTCAGTCAACAAATTGAAGATTTCCAAATAACTCATGCAATTAGACCCCATTAGATCTGGCTTTTTTTTTTTCAGAATCGTTAAAAACCGAATCAGAAATGGAGTTCATTGTTTTGAAATAGAATGGGAAAAGCCTGGTATGTACATACTTAAAGGAAAATTTATAACATTTAGTCACGTATGTTTAGCAGATATCATGTGTAAAACATGTGTATATAAAAAGAAATGGATAACATACACCAGTGTACTTGTGCTATATGTAACTCAGAGTAAATTTTAAATGTCTTAAATTGATATTCCTTTTGTAGTTAATATTTACAAAAACAATATGGAAATGGTTTTGATATACATTTCTCAAGAAAATACTACTACAAATAGTCTGGTCATTGGATTTCACTGTATAGTCAGTTCTCAAGAAATGAAGGTTGCTGATAGCACCTGTGGTGCTTCTGTTCCTTTCTTCCTTTCCTTTCCTTCCTTTTCTTTCTTTACTATATTTAGTTTTCATGGGAATTTATAGTGTCAAATTACTCTTATTTTCTTTAGACAGAAATACAGTGAACTCTGAATTAGCTCCAAAACTGAAGGCAGGGGAAGTACTGAGCACTTAAAATGGAAAATAATCCCAAATTCATTTCTGTTTGGCTTTAAAATTAGATTTATAATTACATGTGACTGAGTGAGAGAATAGATTTGTCAATAAAAGTTCTAATTGATAAATGATAAAGAATTACATAAGCTGTTTAAGGGAATAATAGGAAAGTAGCTAATGAATTTTGAAAACCATGTAGAAACAATTTCACCTACTAGAGTGTATTTTCAGGAAAGACAATGGCATTAACCCAGTTTGGCCATGCATCTCTTCTGTCTGGAACTCAGGGTTAGGTGCCCACTTTCACTTATCCTTGTTGGAGTTATCCCTTAAGGAGAAAATGAACCCCAGGTTGCTTGAAGAAATACTCTTAAGTTCACTTGTTTCCATTGTTTCTACTTCAGGCACATTAACTTACATTTCATGATAGTTTGGCTTCTTATGTAGTTTTGCCCTCATATAGGATAAACATAAGAATCCAGTGTACTAGTTATGTATCTCATTGTGAATGTACACATTAGCATTCTCATTTTTGTTTATTGAGTTCTTGTGAGTCAAATAAGCCTGGTTATTTCTTCAAGAGACTGATAATCTTTGAAACGCGATCTGGAAAATGGTAATATTTTTGATGACCTATCAATTCTGTCCTTTTCAGAAGCTACTACTAAAAGAAAGCCAATGTTAAAGTTTTAGGAAATTGCCTGTTTCCATTCTTTATCTGGAATTTTACCCTTATTATACTGAATTAAAACTGACTAACCTTATATAAATAAAAGTTTTCTCTAAGCTGTTCCTACCATCTCTGAAACAAGAGAAATTTAAAGTTCTAATTTAAGTGGAACTTCTTTCCAGCTCTTGCCAGGTGGAAAAAGCTCACTTCTGTATCAACAGATTATTAGAATAGAGATGTTGTAAAGTAAGATTTGCATGAGTTACCCATTTGCGAATGACCTAGTTGACCTGGTAAACTGAGTTACCTGGGAAAATGGAGTATTTCAGATCTGTTAGTAAGGTTGTGTTATTGTATTTTTAATCCTTTAGAACATTACGCTGTAGAAAATAAACATGGAGAATCGGCTCTACTAACAGTAGAAGAAGAGCCATTGTTTGAAGCAGCTTATCCTGAGATTGTCGCTCTTTACCGAAAACAAACGTCAGAAAATAAAGGGAAGAAACAAAAAAGTATGTATCACACTTGATAACTGCTTATGCTTCCAACACGAATGAATTGTCCTATTTGACCCTACCTTGTCCAGATTTTGCCGAAAGTTCTGTAAAATCAAGAGTAAGGATTATACTCTTGCTCCTTTGTCTTGACATACTTAAAATCTAAAAACCAGGAAAAAATCATTCTGCTCTGAGTCTGCTAACTTAACTGAGTATTAATAATAGTAATTACACTAACCATTGATTGAGCAACTATATGTTATAAAACATATAGTTTTATATAACATATAAATTTATATAACATATAAATATGTATAACATATTTAGGATTATAAATACATTTTCTTTATTTCCCAGAACTCAGTGGAGAAATTTTAACACTATTTTATAACATGAATAACATGTTATTATTGAATAACAGTATTTCTGAAAGAAAATATTTTATATTTTATTAATAATTATTTTGTTATAATTAGGTATAAAACAGTTTTCAGGAATGCACTGAGAAGAGGCAAAAATTGATCATATAGATTTCTGATCTGAACTCTTTTTATTTACCCACGTTAAAGAAAATAAAATAGATTTAAAATAGATTTTAATTGTATTATATATTTGTTTCTTTTCAGGCATGAAAATTAAGTCTAAAGGAAACATTTTGCCAGAATCAGATGGGATGATGAATGTTCAATCTCACATGACTGTAAAACCCACATGGGAAATCTTTCCTAAGCAGATATCCAAGTTAAGCTTGGAAATTTCCCCTGATTCTACATCACCCGAGGAATTTATTTCCACATCATTGAATGCCTTGCTTTTACCTGAAGATGCTGCCTGTTTGAGTACACAAGAACAGTTAATATCTTCTCCAAGACCTTTGGCTATGCAGCAAATTAAAGATATCAATAAGTTTCTAACTGCAGAATCTAGTCAACCTAGTACCTCATCCCATAATATATCCGCAGTTGCTGATCTGCACTTGAGCACCATCGACTGGGAAGGTACTTCTTTTAGTACTTCTTTTAGTAATTCTCCGGCCATCCCCAGGAACGCATTCACTCATGGTTTAAAATCGGAACTTGAAACAGCTACTCCTGACAATTTTAAAAATAATCCAGAGCAGTTGTGTTGTGAATCAGAACGGCATACCACCAGTGTTAATAAACTCTCCTGTTGGGGTCTTCAGAAGACTAATCCTGAGGACGACCTTCTTTCTGGCATTAGTGATTTACGTCTTCAGGATTTACCCTTAAAGGAACGAATACTTATAAAATCATATCCTCAGAATACTTTAGAACCACATGTTGACCTAAAAACTTTGTCCCTACTTACTGTAAAAGAACAGTGTGTTGCTAATAATACTTCTCATTGTCCATCACATCTTTCCAAGGATCTTCTAGGAATTCATTGGCAAAATGAATCTAGAAACTGTAAAATTCCAAAAGGAGGCCAGCTGTTTCAAGAAAATGATAAATCAAATACATCTGTACCCTTGTCTGTCAATAACCCAGGAACGAAGACCTCCAATGTTAGAACTGGGCCACCAAATGCTGCTTTATATCATAGTAGAAAAGCTGGCGTTCAAATCGCTCAGAAAACTGTAATGAAGAAGAGCGTTTGCCTTGACAGACCTTCCTCTGATGAAGAAAGTGTCCCAGAGTTTGGGAAAGCTAAATCCACAAGTCAAAAAATGAAGCAGAGTTCTCAGAAGCATAGTCCAACCCATTTCAAGAAAAATGATGCCAACAAGTTGAGTAACCCTAAGGCGTATATTAAAGAAACTCAGCAGTGTGTCCAGGCTTATAAAACAGCTGGAAATGAAGAAGCCTGTTTCCCAGATGCAACAGAAGAGCCTCTGAGTTTTCTCCGACACCATAAGGATAAAGATGACTCTGGTACCTGGTTGGATAGTCCTCTTCCTTTAAGTCAGAGATTAAAGCTAAGGTTGCAAAACACTTGAAATTTCAAGTATTCAACTGTGACTTAGTATTCTGGTACTGTTGGCATTAGCAGAAGCAGAAGGAAGATATCTGATTAGTGTGTAGTAGAAAAATTTAATGTGGTTCTATATATTATGAGACCCTTGCCATTTTCATCAAAACTATAATTAAAATGTTCCCTTAAACTTCTGTTTTAAAGCACTATCCTCTGTAGTGAAAATTCCAGATAATGTATATTTTTATAACATACTTTGTCCATTTAAAAAAATATCTTTACTGATTATGCTTTAATTATATCCTTAAAGTGTTAGCATAGCACTAGACACAGAGTAAGTGCCGCACCCATTTGTTCATTTTTACTCATTTCTTCCACAAGCCTCTAAAGCATTTTTGGATATTACAACTTGTTTCCCACAGGATAACTCTTTATCATTGCCTGCATTCTCATGTCTTCTATTGTGCCTTTCTGGGAGTTATATTTACTCTCAATGTGAAGATACTTTCAACTGCTCTTCAGTTTCGGTAATCTCATTCTCTTTTGTGAAATAAAATTCACAAAATTTTATATATAGTGAAACTCATGGTTGTAGTAGCTGAATAAATTTGGAAAGCTACTTCTTACATATCCCCAGAGGTTCACAGTTATGCCAAGTGGACAGAGATTTGAAAAATAGAATGTATAACCAGAAGAGTATTAGAAACTTGCTCAGGATCATGCAACTAATTAATAGTGGTATGGGAACCATATTTCTTTTTTATAGCACTTTTTTCTTTCCCTTTTTGTAAAAAAATGAATCTGTGGCTTCCTGGATGGCTCAGGGGTGAAGAATCCGCCTGTAATGCAGGAAACACAGATTTGATTCCTGGGTCAGGAAGATCCCCCTGGAGAAGGAAATGGGATCAAACCCAGGTCCCCCGTGTTGCAGGTGGATTCTTTACCAGCTCAGCCACAAAGGAAGCCTAAGAATACCAGAGTAGGTAGCCTATCCCTTCTCCAGTGGATCTTCCCAACCCAGGAATCAAACCAGGGTCTCCTGCATTGCAGGAGGATTCTTTACCAACTGAACTATCAGGGAAGCCCGAGGAAATGGTAACCCATTCCAATATTCTCGCCTAGAAAATTCCCATGGACAGAGGAGCCTGGCGGGCTCCTCCGGGAGCATGGGGTGGCAAGAGTCAGGCATGGATTAGCAACTAAACAACAACATATAATGCTCACATCAATACCTCCAAATATTAAGTTATTCATTACTTTACCTACCACTCAAAAATTCTAAAGGGAACCAGATTGGAAAGGAAAAAGTAAAACTATTGCTACTTGCAATGGTAAGACCTCATGTTTATGAAATTCTGAGGAATTCACTGAAAACTATTAGAACTGATCAATGAGTTCAACAGGTTGAGGATACAAGGTCAAGATACAAACATCAGTTGTATTTCTATACAACTGCAATGAATAATACTAAGTGAAATTAAGTTCTTTTTACAACAACAAAAAAATACTTTGGAATAAATTTAACAAAAGAAACTATATACTCGGAAACTATAAAATGTCACTGAAAGAAATTCAAGATAATCTAAATAAATGAAAAGACATCCATGTTCATGGATCAGGAGACCTGATATTGAGATGAGAATACTTCCCAAACAAATTTGCAGATTCAGTGCAATCCCCACCAGTTCCAGCTGATTTCTTTGTAGAAACTGATAAGCTAATTCTGAAATATATATGGAAATTTAAAAGACACAGAATAGGCAAAATAATCTTTACAGAAAAGAAGTGACAAGGTAATACTTGCCCTTCTGATTCTTATTTCAAAACTTACTACGAAACTACAGTAATGAATGTGTTGAGTGCCATAAAGGTAGACTTATAGATCAGTAGGATAGAATGGAAGGTCCAAAAATATGTCCTTAGGCTTCTCAGGTGGCTCAATGGTGAAGAATCTGCCAGCAAGGAGACATAGGAGAAAATGGGTTTCATCCCTGGGTTGGGAAGATCTCTGTAGGAAAAAATGACAACCCACTCCAGTATTCTTGCCTGGAGAATCCCATGAACAGAGGAACCTGGAAAGCTACAGTCCATTGGGTCACAAAGAGTCGGACATGACTTAGTGACTAAACAACAACAGCAGCAATAACAGAAACTCATTTGACTTTGCTTTCAGCTTCCTCTTTTAAAAATTTCCCCTATGCCTTTAAATAGTTTAGAATAATTATAAATAACACGATCTTACATATGGAAACAATGTTTACTTTGAAGACCTGACATTAGAAAAATTGACAGTATGGTGACTACCAAGAGTGTTATTTCCTTGGTAAACTTACCACAGTTTAGAGTTTAGCCAGTTTTGAACTAGTATCACATAGTTTTAGTAATCTCAGTTTTAAATGCACGTGTAATATAACTTTTAAGTTTTTCAAGGACTTATGCTTTTGGCATAAATTGGGCATTAATTACTGCATAGATACATGTACAGCTCTAAGTTCTGAAGTTAGAGTTGCACAAAACCCCAGGGGATGAGGATGAAGTTCTACTTTGGAGTAATTAATTTGGTTTTGAACTGCTTACCTGACCCCACGCCCAGTAGATTTATGTTCTTAGACGTATACCTAAAGACTCCTTTTTCACCAACTTTTTTTTTATTGTGGTATAATTTATGTACAATAAAATCCACTCATTTTAAGTGTAAGTTTGATGAATTTTGGTAATTGTGTACATTTGTGTAACTTACACCGCAATCCAAATGTGGAAGATTTCCATCACCCCGAAGTTTCTTTATGCTTCTTTGCAGTTAATCCTCTCTCCCAAGCCTTGATCCCAGGCAACAACTGATAATGCTTTTCTCACTATGGTTTGCTTTTCCTAGAATTTCTATAAACAGGACCATACAATATATAGTCTTTGACTTTCTACTTAGTACTTTTTTAAGACTTATGTATGTTGTATATGTTAATATCTTGTGGTATAGAGTAGTATGACATAATTGTAGACGTAATTGTATGACATAATTTAATTATAGAGTAGTATGACATAATATTCAGTTCAGTCGTTTAGTTGTGTCCAGCTCTTTTCGACCCTGTGGACTGCAGCACATCAGGCTTCCCTGTCCATCAACAACTCACAGAGTTTGCCCAAACTCATGTCTATCAAGTCGGTGATGCCATCCAACCATCTTGTCCTCTGTTGTCCCCTTCTCCCGCCTTCAGTCTTTCCCAGCATCAGGGTCTTTTCAAATGAGTCGGCTCTTCACATCAGATGGCCAAAGTATTGGAGTTTCAGCTTCAGCATCATTCCTTCCAATGAATATTCAGGGTTGATTTCCTTTAGGATTGACTGGTTGGATCTCCTTGCTGTTCAAGTGACTGAAGAGTCCTCCAGCACCACAGTTCAGAAGCATCAATTCTTTAGCACTCCATCTTTTTAATGCACTGTTTAGGTTTATCATAGCTTTTCTTCCAAGGAGCAAGTGTCTTAATTTTGTGGTTGCAGTCACCATCTGCAGTGATTTCGAAGCCCAAGAGAATAGTCTCTCACTGTTTCCATTGTTTCCCCATCTATTTGCCATGAAATGTTGGGACCAGATGCCATATTTTTTGAATGACATAATATTAATACACAATACTTTTTTATTATTTCATCAGTTGATGGAAAATAGAGTTGTTTTCATATTTTGGCTATTATGGATAGTGTGGCCATGAATATTCAGAAAGAGGTCTTTAGGTGGACATACATTTTCACTTCAGATAAATAAGAATGAGATTGCTGGTTCATATGATCAGCATATGTTTAATTTTTTAAGATACTACCACAGTCTTCCAAAAAACCATTATGTTCCCAACAGCTATACACTAAGGTTTTAATTATGCTACATTGTCACAAAAACTTAATGTCAGTCATTTTCATTCTAGTCATTCTAACTGGTGCATGGTGGATCTCATTGTGACATTGTCTTTTCCTGATAATTGAAGAAGTATCATGTGCATATTGGGGATTTGTGTGTCTTTTGTGAAATTTCAATTCTTTTTGCCAGTATTTAAATTGGGTAGTTTGTCATCTTATTCAATTATAAGTGTTATTTTTTTCTAAATAAAAGCTCTTTGTCAGATATGTGTTTTGCAAATATATCCCTGAGTCTTTCATTTTAACTGTCTTTTAAAAAGCAAAATAATTAAAATTTTCATGTCTATTAATTTTTGTTTCCACTGGCCTATTTAAGATATATTTGTCTAACCTAATGTGCCAGCTGTTTTTTCTGTTTTCTCCTACAAGTTACATGGTGTTTACCTCTTACATTTGGGTCTGATTTGTTTCAAGTTAATTTTTGTGTATCATGTGAGATAAGAACTGAGGGACATTTTTTTCCCATACAGATATCCACTTGCACAATCACAATTTGTTGAAAAGAAATCTTTTCCCTCATTGAATTACCTTGACTCCTTTGTTGAAAAATCAATGGCCCATGAAAAGTGTGAGTCTTTTGTTGAACTATTCTTCCCATTGATCTGTTTGCCTATCATCACTCCAACATCGCCATCTTGATTACTGTAGATTTATAGTAAGTCTTGAAATCAAGCAATTTATCCTTGTTCATTATATTTTCTTATCAAGTTTACCAATTGACCGCCATATTACTAAAGCTAATAAACAACTTACAGTCTTAAATTTACCTTTCTGCAGAATCAAGGACAGCTGAACTTTCTTTGAAACCTTCTATTTTGTTTTCTATGTCAACACTGCTTCTTGGTTTATCTTCCTCCTCCTTGGCTATCATTTTAAACTCCTTATAGGCGTAAATATTCATACTTATTCAATATTAATACTTGTGTTCCTTCAGTTTTCTTTCTTATTCACTCTAGATATTTTCTACCCTCATGACTTCAGCTGCTTATGTGTTTATGACTCAGACATGGATCATTAGCTAAAGCTTCTCTCCTAACCTATAGATCTGCTTACTTAACCAATTTCTGACATCACTGGAGATGAGTACGGGTTGAGGCTCCGAGGTGCCTGACATAT